TAATAATAAATTACATTTTACTTTATATTGTATGTTATTAATACACTTACAGTTAGATCCTTTAATACTAATCCTTCTAGGCCTTGTTTCAATACATGTTCAACCATTAACTTAAGTTCTTTAGTGTTCTAAAATAAATGTCAAAAAATRTGTAGACATCAATTATTATTTTATGGTATAGTATATTTTAATATATAATACTGACATGCAACTCTTTAACTTCTGAAAACATGATATGTCCCTTGATTGGAGTCATATTCTGCATCAGAATTTTTCTTCGTTCTACAATTGTTCTGAAATTTATTATTTTGTTCCATATCATTAATTTTACAAGTACATATTATATAATATTATAGTTCCTTCCCCCTCCCACATCACATAATAAAATATTACTTAAATACTATTATTTATAGGTTATTCTAAAATAATATTATGCATACATTATTTTAGAATCATGGACAAAACACTAATAAGCTGGAAAATCTCAGAATTGTCAGTTAAATAAACACGGGTGATATTTAACATATTGATGATAAGAAATTACAGCAAATTAACATTGAAATAAATAATAATAAATATTATTAACATATTTATTACCCTTTTTAAATAAATCAACGATAAAGTTTTTAATTTTAATTTTAATTTTAAAAAGCTACGTGTTGAACATTAAAATATATTTTTAATAATATTTTTAACACAAAGAATTTATAAGTTAAAATAGTCAAGAGTAAAAATACTAAAAATAAACAGTGTTATAAGCTATTTTTATAGCCAATGAAATTTAAATAATTTAATATTTTTGATGATATAAAACTAAACATTGGTTAAAACTAAAAGTGATTGTTTTGTTTCAAGTTAAAATTATCTCCCCATGTGGACATCCATACTGTTAAAATGTATTTCAGTTAAGTACATGTATCAGTAAATCATTTAAAGGATAGCATTTTTATAAGGGAAATTAGTTAACTATAAACATTAATCCATTGTATCGGTATTTGTGTTCCCTTACCTATCTAATAGTGATACACCATTGTAATACATACAGTCAAAAACAAACAGGCAAGGATTAGCGTCTTCAAATTTACTTTTCTATGAAAAAAAAATATATATAATAACTGAATAATTTAAACTTTTAAATGCCACATTTATAAAAGAAAAATACTTTATGAATTCCTAAGGTACCAAATGGTAAAGGTTTATTAGTTTTGTGGTCATACATAAGCACTTCACAATCTAAAATAATCTCTTTTCCATGTTGAAAAGCCTTTGGAATGTACTGTTTGAATAAATCAACCTGAAATTAAATTTATTTTTAATATTATTCAATAATTAAAATGTTGACAAAAATGTATAGAATAATATTATATGTATATGTTACTGTGTGAGTCCTCAATTRGTGAGTGCTGACTATCACTGGTTAATGTCAATGTACACCAAAGTCATAAGTGAATGTTGGCATATTTATTAAATGTATACAATTTATAAACATTCACTAGTGAATGTTAACATTTATACTGATATTGGATATTGATCAGTGTTGGTAATGCCAATATAATTTATTCTGATCTAATCATATCTCATATTTAAGTACCTATCGATAAAGAAAAGAAATTGTACTAGTTGATAATTTCAACATAATTAACAAATTTCCTTAAGACAAGCTTCTGCATCAAATTAATCAATTTGTGGGCTAGAGTGTATGTGATGTAAAGTGCACCACAATAAGATAAATGTAGTTGTAGAAATGCTGATATTTAATGTAATATAAAGTAYCATGAAAGTATGTCATGTTGCAATAAGTACTCGTAGAATAATTTTCCACGTTTTTTAAAATAATAATTTTTGTATGGCAAAATAATAATTATTTATTTATTTATAGTTAAACATATTGTTTCTATTTTATATAATAGTCTATAAAATATGGTTGTGTATGTCATTGACATTGAACATTGACCAAAATCCTGATACATATGTCAATATTCACAAGTACATGTTAATATTATTTTAATTTTTCAGTATTCACCAATTTAGTATGTCGACATTTACTATGTGGTTTTCAGCACTCACTAATTGCGGAAATTCACAGTTACATATTATATAATACACTATGTCTCTATAATAAATATTTYTTCAATATGTTTATTAATTATATGTGAATGTATGTTGAGGATATTTACTTTATGTCCCAATACAGGTTTTAGACTTCTTGAAAAAAATTTAAATTCTTTTTCACTTTTATGTAGTTGAACACGTTCACCATCATATTTAATTTCTGAGTATATACCATGAGGACACTTTTTAAAAACGTCATCCAAATTTTTGCATGGTTCAGCCTAGAACAATAAATTGCATGAAAGATAAAAGTTAATGAAAAATAAAAGNAATTTAGTATGTCGACATTTACTATGTGGTTTTCAGCACTCACTAATTGCGGAAATTCACAGTTACATATTATATAATACACTATGTCTCTATAATAAATATTTYTTCAATATGTTTATTAATTATATGTGAATGTATGTTGAGGATATTTACTTTATGTCCCAATACAGGTTTTAGACTTCTTGAAAAAAATTTAAATTCTTTTTCACTTTTATGTAGTTGAACACGTTCACCATCATATTTAATTTCTGAGTATATACCATGAGGACACTTTTTAAAAACGTCATCCAAATTTTTGCATGGTTCAGCCTAGAACAATAAATTGCATGAAAGATAAAAGTTAATGAAAAATAAAAGYTAACAAATTMATAGGAAAACAACTTACCAACATTGGTAAAATCGGTGTCAACAAAGATAATTTAATGTTCATTTTTCCACTACTAGCTACCTTAGATGAATCACATGAACACGATTTCTGTACAACAGATTTTAAATCGTGTGATGTTTGATATGCTTCATATGCATCAGAATGAAGAGCCCCTAAACTGAAAKTATAATATAGGTATTTATAAATACTCAAATATTTAAGTAAATATTATATTCAAACACATGCCAACAATCAATATCATCGACATTCTAGGATGAATTTATTTAAATTAATTTAACCGCTTTTGAGCATATAATTCATACTACTACTCTCGTAAAGAGGATATTTCATACTTTATTTGTATAACTGTATACTTATTTCATTTCAAAATGAAAAAAAAAACAGAAAAAATGAGGTACCTCCTGTTTTTTTCAATGTATGATATTTTTTAAAGACAATAGAAACATTTCTAAGGTAATTTAAACATAACTTATAACAAATATTTATAAAGTTATAATAACTTTAATTGTCAACTATCCCTAGATATAGATAGCCTTAGGCTAGGAATATATTCTGTTTAAAATAATAACAAAAAAATAATGACTTTAATTAGTACTTTTTGAAAAATAAAACAATAAAACATGCTTGAAAAAGTTAAAATTATTGTCATAAATAAGTGTTTAACTTCTCATGACTTAATTCAGACCATTAATTTATTTATTATTACATATTTATAGATTTATATATATAACCATAAAAGCGTACATTTTTCAGATATGAGATTTCTAAGTAAAGCWGTTAAGTGCATAGATAATTTAAATTATTATTACTCAAGTATTAGGTGATTAATATAATTTTTAATAGTAATATCATTAATTCTAAATACTATTTATACATTTTGATCAATGATAATATGCATTCTACTAAAAATCTCATAAATACAAAATAAAAACTACATTTATCTTATGACCAARTCTATAATTTAATTCATGATCTATATAATTTGGTAAACTTCAAAGCCCATAATGCTGTATTTGTTTTTTTAAATACATTGTATATTGTATCATAATCATGTAATTTCTAAAATAATAGTAAGTAACTTTAGTATAGAAAATCATTTAATATTGAATACGATTTAAAATTAACTTTAATTTTCAGTATAAGAAAATAAAATTCAAGAAGGTTTTAAAAAGTAGTAATAAATTCATATTTYATGTTTTTATGCACRTCAAATTTATTTATTTTAACTGCGACCATATCMTTACATATTTATAGAGTATTCAAATTTCGAGCCCTAACTATATCCTCAGTTAAAATTATAAAAAAATATTTGTGCTTTTACATTAATCTTTATACATTTTTAAGAGTAATTTTACTTAAATATTTTTTACCATAACCGGAAATTTGTTACACCACCTCCCACCACTCGGAACGGCTTCGGCAACAATATCAATTTATAAAGTAACAATAAATAGCTGGAACAACAATACAGATTAYGTCCAACTAAAGTCACGTTCATAAAATAAAATAACTAAACTTTTCAAGATAGCGTTACAAACCTAACTTAACTTTTATTTAAAAACTTGAACTTTAACAATGTTTTTTTCTTTTGAATTGAAAATAAAATATCGATTCGCTGCATAGGGAATAGGGATATGTACAAACACAGACCTTACATTGCAAATGAAAACATACAATGATTTATTTAGATATTATTTTTGGAAACTCTTACGTAGGTCGTAGGTACGATATACATATACCTAAGTCCACAATGTTAGGATATAAATACAATATTTAATCTATCGTTTCAATAAAACCGTAACAGAAGCGATTATCGATAACAGGTTACTATYAAAAACGATACATAAATTAGGTACATATGTAAATACGTAACTTGTCTGACATGAGATGATAAATGGCTGGAATTTACTTATCTACAAGCTGTAGGTAATGAATAACAATTGACCGCAAAAATGCCAAAAGCATTTTACAATAATAATAAATAAAAGGGAAAGGAATATATATATAATATCATACTTTTTTTTTTTTWTTTAGAAAATTTACAATCTGTATTTCACAACACAATAGGTAAATTAGATGACTGACATAACACTATATAATATATAAAATAACATATAGCACAAGATGAGGGAAATCATCCAGCGATGGTACCCTCCAGAATATCATACTTGGATTCTACCATTTTCGACTAGTTAGATTTTTTTTTATAATAGGTACATCGTGATCACGATATTTGGTACAACTGAATATCTCAGAAGGATGAACTTGAATTGAAATGGGGTTTTCGGGAGGTGATAGGGAGTACTTAAATACATATTTTCAGAYCAATTTCAAACTTTTTAGCTCTCGGTACGCGCATGCGCAATACAACTTACTCTTTTTTAAATGGTAACCCAAAGATTTTTCTGCAGATTCGAGTAAGTATTTTTGTAAAAGTCTATTGTAGGTATAAAAAGTTTTTTTCTATTTTCAAATATAACCAAGTTAAAGTAAATCAAAATTTAGATTTATGCATAATTCGTGTTTATAATGACATTTTCATTTATAACCACTAGAAAGTAATAATAATAAAATAAGAGTAAAGTAATTAAACATTATTTTTATTRTATTTATTTTTATTCATACCAAAACCAATTTTGAATTTCTTCGAACAAGTGTTAAATAGCATAAATGAAGCAAGTTACGTTGATCAAGTTTGGATAACAAATATTGAAAACTGTACTAAAGCTTTGGTGATCACGTATTTACGTGAATGGGATGAATAGAAAACTATTTAAGATACAGATATTATACAACGATGACCATAGATATATTGGTTGTATTTAATCAGTGTTAACATTTAGAAAATGATGATTATATGCCCTTTAGATCACGAACCAATAAAGTACTTAATCCACGGTCTAATATACTAAGTTATAATAGGCATACACTATATTAAATCAAATTAATCACACATCCAAAGTTTGATCTTCATCGAAATTATCAGAAAAATATTTTTCTCCAGAACATGAAATAAAAATGTATGCGTCTTTCAAAAAAGTAAAAAGATCGGGATCTCTAGATCCTCTCCCCCCCCCCTTAGTTATGGCCTTGTCGGTGACCACCAATCGTAGCAAAACCACTTGTAAAAAACACTATTATATWTAGTCTCTGTCCACAAAGAAATTTGGATATACATAATATATGTCTGTATATTTATATTTTTGTAATTCACTTACACGTATAATATGTACAGTCGATTTTATAGATATATCAAATACCAATAAAATTTGTACATATTAATAGCGTTTTCCATCACACTGCACTGACTACACCAGTGCATATTTTTATGCTCCATATGCAAGATTAATGCRCACTGAGAGGACTTTTTTATGTTATACCATAATGCACTACGCCAGTTTTTTGCACTCAGTGTATTAAGAATCGCAAGAGCTCCAGGAGCTTGTGCACCTTATCATTATCATGATAAGTACAATAATATCCATTAAATACTTTATTATCTTTATATATCAGTGATAAGTATAGATTTTATGTTTCATCTACACTTGCATATAGGACAATTATCAGTGAACTGTACCAGCGCCACTTTGATGCAATAGTGCGGTATGGTGGAAAACGCTATAAGAAGTATTTAACTATCGTATCAGTGATACAGTATCACATTATTATTAAAACTCACATGAATTTTGGTCCACAATTAATTCTGAGATCGTGCATCACTAGCCGAATTATCATTTTCAAATCATTACCAGTACATCTGCAAAATAAATTATTTGTTTTAAATCTAAAATTTAWCTTATTTAAACCTAGGTGGTATTGATTGGCAGGTTAACTTACAACGTTGCGATTGATTTGAAAAGTGCTGTTTGTGCCACTTCTGTAGTTTCAACTGATAATTTATCGAGAAAACTGTCTACTTTAGCTAATGTCAAAGTTGATTTTGATGCAGGTTTCACATCAACATTGTTACTTTTTTCAAAGAATATTCTTATCGTTTCAGCAACATCTCCCTTTTCCAAATCTTCTAGCATTGAGTTAATATTTTGATTAAATAACTTTAAACAATTAAAATATATCACGAATATTAATTTTAAAAAWTTTTCGTATTTTTGTTGTTCRTCAAAAAGGATAAAATTAATTTTTACTTGACTAAATAATTTAATAAGTTGTTTTGATTGAAGATTGTAAATTCTTTTTTCCGAATTGGGCAACAACATTTTACACCATAAAAACATACTTTCTGCTCGGGTCTCATTTGACTGTTCTATAAAAAAAAACCGTTAGAACTTTATTAAAAATAAAAAAAGGTTATAATATATAGGCAGGTRCCTAAATCGGTATCAAAACAACAAATTATCACATGCATAATAGAATTAAATATTAGGTACCTAATAGGTATTCAATTTTAATGTGGTATATAGCATAGGTACCTATGCGTTGAAATTGTTTTCAATTTTACGCGGATATTATTTAAGGCAACATTGGCCATTGGTTGGTTATTTTTTATTTAGCAGGTTTATTTTTAACTGTAAGGGAAGGTGCAATTGGTTTTTGGTTTAAGTGTGGCAAGGTTTTTGCCACTATAAAGAACCGGGTTGTCACCCATTCTGTACATTTAATCACGTTGCGTGAATGATTGCAGCAACAATCCGCAATATTTGGATATTATATTAATTTTAAGATAATTTATCAAAAATCAAAAAAAAAAATTTATATTTATAATATTCAACTTTCTGATGAATTGAGYATACAAGATCAAATATCTTACGCGATTATAATGTGTAWTGATAATATTATATAGGTACCTAATTAAATAATTCAGTAATAAAATACCATCTAATTTGMTTTTTACGAGTTCCCTCGATTAAAAAAACAATGACGAATTTGGTAATATGCCTACAGTAGATCTTTAAGAGAAAAAAATACGAATCGAAATATAAAAAGTAATAAAAAAAAAAAATGTATTGAAGCCGAAAGTAATTGTAAATACCTATATTATCTACATACCTTTGGATAAAATTGCATAGATGAAATCTTTAAAAATTGCAGTTTTTTGCAGATGGCTGTTTTCTTGCGAGAGACTCAAACACAGTTTTCGAAAGTCTTTAAAATAGTAATCCTGCATTTGTGGCAACGATGGTTCAGCTTTTGCTTTTGATTTCTTTCTTTTCGGTGTTTCTTTTTTGTCAGTCTCATCATCATCGTGTGTTTTAAGTTTCTCCTTAGGAACTAAAATACAAAAATAATATTTATACTTAMATTTATACATTTTTAGTTGCTAATGCGGATACTTTAAAMAATTAACTATTTCAATATCTTACTATCGGGAAATGTCGTAAATATTTCGTTTTGGTGTTCCATGGACAGTCCATCCCAACCACCGATATCATCCACACAAGTAATTTTTGCTGTAGATGCTCTCTGCTTAGAAAATACTAATACTAAACACTGCGGATGATGCCAAGCCATCATTTTTCCATCACCAAATGGATTCGCCACAACTTTGGCGATCCTCAAGGTTCCTTGATTTAARACTTCTTTACACTTTTTACATTTTGCCCTGTTACTCTTAGACTTTTCAGCAACGAAAAGCTTGTCCTCGGACGGTTCTTCCATATTATCAAGCTATAAAATAAATAACTAGGTATATTGAATTGRAATAATTTAATTTAATCGCATGAAAATGTAAAGAGAAAATAACCATGCAAATGTAAGAAAATAAAGTTAACCTATATATCGACTACACCGTTCAGCGAAATTAAATTAGTTAAGTAGTCACCAAAGAGATTTCATTGTTTGAGACTGACAAATGAGAATCCGAGAAAATAAAACCTAGACAGAATAAGGAGACGGTCTCACTWCACATWATAGTAATAAAAAAAAAACAGTCAGAGTTTACACAGTTTTAAAATAATATTTTTAACAATAGATACACGAAATACAACAATTACCGTTATTCAATTCACGTGTTAGTAAAAAATGTCATTACTCTAGTTTTCAGTATTTTCTGTAATTTTATCAAAAACTTTTAGGTCATTTAATTTCAACAATGATCAGTTTACCATACCAATTAGTTGAAAAGTTGAATTATGAAGTTTTTTATTGTTAAATACACGTGATTTATTGAAAATGTTATTGGTACTGTATTTCAATATATTTAGCAACTTTATCAAACACACAGTTGGAGAATGTTAATGATATATAAAGTATTTACATCGAACACTCGTGATTTTTTAACTCAACCCACCATTTAACTATTTTAATTTAATAATTACTTTTAAAATTCAAAACTAGTAATAGCTATTAGCTAGGTATATATTATATAATTTATCAAAAAGAAAATTTTCGGGATTTTGAATTTTAAATGCTTGTAAAAAATAATCATGCCAATGTGTCTTTTATGTTTTTAAGCTGCTTTTAAAGCATTTTATAGACTCTARCATTAAACATTCAAGATTTTCAAAAATCTTAATAATTATAAAGATGTTATTATCGACAATATAAAAAAATTTTCTCAAGGTTAGATCAAAATAGCTTAAAAAGAATCAAAATATTTTGATAATATTACTATTTATGTAAAATACTAATGTAAATATTTGGTATCTACGATTACATTAGTTTTTGAGTTATCCAAAAATATATTTTTTCAAAAATTCCAATTATTTCTTAATTTTCTCCTGTCTCATTCAAAATTACTGGGATTTTTAACCTCCAGAATACATCTACGTAATCACTTTTTTACAAAAAAAATATGCAGATGTTGAAAATCGGAGGATTTTTACTATATCAAATAAATGCATTCGTTACGCTAAGAATCTACAAAATATGTAAGTAATTCGCACTTTTAAGTTAAATAATTTTTGTAATATCTATATCTTTGCATATGAAATTCCAAATAATTATTAAATAAATTGTTAAAACAGTAGGGTTGTAGTTACCACCYAGGACCGCGAGTTTTAGAATTCGACAAAAATAAATAATCGAAAATAATAATATATCCGCTTAAATTACCAATCAAAACAGTCACATCCCTCACCACTTAACAATCGTAAATTACCATAATTTTATTATTTTATTTCATTCACTTTAAATCGAATAATTCAATAATCAACCATTTCATAATAACACTAAAATAAACAATGTTTCACAAAATATTTGTTAGTTCCTTAATTCGTATTGAAAATACCTTCCTATATGATGTATTTTTCGACATAA